AATGCTGCACTTTCTGCCTGGTGACATCCTGTTCATCTGTAAGAGTCGGATTGTATGTCACCCTCCTCAGAAGAGAATGTTCTTCTTCCTTCTGTCTTTGGACCATTTTGTATTGTAGTGCTTAATATTCTGAAGCTGAATTTTTTTGTTTATCTATATTCTGAAAACTGTGTTAATGATACAATACTCCAGATTCTTAAAGCCTAGCTCAGGACCTGGTATGTGGCAAATACTCAGCAGAGTTTGTGGAGCTACTGGCTGAGTGCACAGCTGCAATTCTCTGTACTTTATTCCTTGGTACATGTTTAGGTCCCGACTCTTGTAGAACATTGCCCTTGAGGGGCCCAGTTTCACTTGCTGTCACCAAGTACTTCTTTTTATTTGGTTTGGTTGACTTTTTTGACATTCCTCAGAGTAGTGGAAAGTCCAAGGCCATCTGCCCTACTCACTTAAAGGTCCTATTCACACAGGCCTTCTTCCTCTTGGACTTCCCCTGAGATGACATTTGGGGAAAAAGAATGTTTTACTTTTGCTTTATTGAGTAGAACTTAATAGAAAATCCAATTTAGTTTCAGGTACAATATAACACTTGACTTTGCAGCAGATAATTTATAAAATACTCAACATTACTGGAGAATCCAGTAGGCATTTATCATATGCTTTGCATGTACGAGTCTCTATGCATGGCCTTTTGCAAAAGAAAGTACTCTTCCTTGGAGCCATGAGCCCATAGCTCAGCCTAATCAACACAATGACTATAGTTTAAGACTCAGATTGATACTTGTTATCCACATACCTATTCCCATTCAGCATATACAAAGATGTCCTGACTGGAGTGAGTAGGAAAGGCTTCATTTGAATGGGAATTAAATAGGGAAGAGTTATAGATACAAGAACAGAAGAGAAAAGCCATTACAGTTTGAAAGAAAATAGGAAGAATGAATAGCTGATACCAGAAAAACACTCATGGGGTTAGAGCAGGCACTTCAAGAGGCTGGAGTGGGCTGAATCTGGGTGGACTGAAGAAGGGGTGAATTGCCACCCAATGAGCCTTTTAGGACTGTGGGCTCCTCTTCCCCGGCAATGGGAGGACCTTGGAAGACTCTTAACTGTGAGTGGACCAATGGATATTAAGATCAGTGTATGCTCTCATTGCACACCTGCATGTCCAGGTGCAGGAAGACTTGATGAAGGGTAAACTGTGACTTTATTACATATCAAACTCAGATAGTACATGTGGTGTCATCAATAAATCTAACCTCTCCCCTGGCTTCCATTTCCCTGCCCACCAGATCCTTCCATTTTCATCCCCCTGTGGCCGTTATATCCTTAGCTAAACATTCTACCTAATTAGCTAGGTTGCATGACACTTTTCTTCTTCCCCAGGTATCAATCTACCTGAGTTTACAACTAGTTGCTCTCCCTAGAACCCTCATAAGCCTAAACACAAGAAGAAAATTAGGGGAAATTCCCACTTGCTTGTGATCATAGGATATCCTGGAGCTTAGTTTCCTTACACAGAAACCCAGCTCCTTTCAGAAGCCTTGTCACAGTGGGCCTCTAGCTTTCTTGACAGGGACCTGGAGGAACATGCTAGCCATCAGTGGGTTTTCTGAACATGAATGCTTGGCTCCACAGGACCAAAGGAGATGAAGGGGGACATGCCCATGGTTTCTTGTGCATATTTTTCCCTCTCCTTTGTGTCACTAGTGAAGACCTTCTACAGAAGCCTTGGTCAAGGGTTCAGAATAGGGAAGTAGGTATGCTAAATTCAGAGGAGTGAAAGAGGAAGGCAGAGTAAGAGCCCACACCCCCACCCCCAACCCATGGCTGAGCCACCTCCTCAGAAGCAGCAAAAGGTTCAGCAAATTTCAAGTTCTGTTTCAAGGGAAAAGAGAAGTTGACTTCATTCATTGTTCTTGGGAGGCTCTTAGCTTGTCCTGCAGCTTGCATCTTTTTGGTACCATCAGTCGGGACAGTCTTGGAGTTCTCTCAGACTGACTGCTGCTTCTTGGTAAAAGTAGAAAACAGTCCCAGTCCAAATTAGCCCTATTGAGTTCTGCCCAAATGTCAGGGCCATGAAAAAAAACACATTATCGTTGTTTTAAGCCTTAATTATTGAGGAGGTGGTTTATTACAAGCAACAGATAACTGGAACATGGGAGTACTTACGCAAGGACAGTGAAAATAAATGAGGGTGTGGACACTGATAATCGTGACATTGACAGCCAAAGATATTTACAAAAGGATGACGTTGTTAATTCACTATTAAGATGACACATATTCTTGCATGACAAACAGTAGCAATTCCTTCAGCCCTGTACTTTTTTAATAGAATCTTCTGGAAAAAGTAAACATGAAGAAAGGCTCGGTCAGGCCATGCAAGTTTTTGTCTTGCATTTGTGTTGCTGGGGATTGAACCCAGGTAAGCCATGCAAAACACCTGCACTACCATTAAACTAAATCCTCAAACCCCTATGGTAAAGGAAGTTATTAAATATGGAAAGATTTAAATCATTTTCAGTTATCTCTACCTCCCCAGTCAGCCTGCCCCTCTTAGCTCACCATAGATAAGGATCACCATATGCATTTCTCAGAGCTTTAAAACTTGCATAGCCTAAGACCAAGTTCCAAGATCTTAGCATGGAATCCAGAAAGTATCTCTATATTGGAAGTTACTACAGTGATCACTTTCAGTAATTCCCTCTAATATATACTTGGATTGTCTATAAAGTATTTGCTAAAGTTTCTTGTACATTTTTGAGTAATAAAAGGGTTTCAAATTTCTACCCATTATAGTTGACTTACTCAGAGTTTACTTGGGGTAGACTCAATTTCATACAAAATTCTACATGTAGATCAAGCACCCCAGGGGATGACGATACACAGACTTAGACTGTAGTGGTGGTGGGGGATTCTCTCCATGCCTTCAGATCTGCTTCATGATCAGCTACTTGCCGCCAACCCATACTTTCCTGTATGCCTTACTCCATCTATTCTTTTGCATTTTGTAAATAAATCCTCCCTTTTTTTTAATGACAAAGGGGAAATTGTTCTTTCTCTCTCCTACCTACCCTTAAAAGGTAACTATTTGGAAACACCAAAAGAAACCAAATAAGGCCACGGTATTTTAAAAATATTTAAATGAGACCTTTTTGAGGATCCAATATTTCAGAAATATGTAGCACAAATATATTAATAGCTAGCATTGATGTCAGTGCATTTCATTTATTCAACAAAGATCAACTACTTGCCTTCCCTGGGTTCAGATTTGGATACCAGCTAGAGAGATAAGAGACCAAAAAGATAACCTTAATTCCAGAAGACATTATTGAAACTCTGAATCCACATGCTTCTATTAGTTTTTCAGAAATTCTGAGCCCAAATTTAGGAATATCATGGGGACAAAGAAATCAGTCCCCCCATCCTTTTGATGGTCCTTATGATCTCAAAGATGAGTTGAGGTCACAAAGGAGCTTTGCCTTGTTGTTGGGCTGCTGTGAGGCAACAGGCACAATCTCGGAAGACTTTCCCATGATAAAATCTTAGAGAAATGGCTTGGCCCTATGATCATGGGCTCCTTGTTCTCTTTGGGACCCATGTGAGCCTGGACACTCCAAGAAGAAAATTCCACGAGTGGATTAAATAGACGTACAGGAGATGTGTAGAGGAAAATGCTGAGAGAGAAAATGGAGAGGGACAGAAGAGACTGACAAACTGCCAGAGAGCAACAAAGGACTGACTTGTGAAGAAAAGAGAAAATCATGGAAAGCAGGTCAAAAGGGGCCTCAGGCTGTAGGGGCAATATAAGCCACGAGTCAAAGAAAACAGTTCAACCAATCACCTGTTAAAGAATCAGGGAATGTTGGTTTGCATAGGAATGTGGCTTAGCAGTCTTGCTTTGCTGTCTGACTGGGAACACACTATGGGATCTGTTGCCTCTAGTTGTAAATTTGATAGGAGAGTCAAAGCACAGCAGCTATGGCCTTAAATCAACAGCCTTCCTCCAGTAGTCAGAGAAGAGTCTTTCCACAGCTGCAGTAATAGTTTGCGATCCAGCATCAGCATCTTATCAACTTTTCTCCTTTACTCTTTACTTCTATGGTACTAGTTCAGAAGTACAACCTGTATATTAATTCCCTTTCCACATTTGTAGTTGTTCATAGATGATGATGCAGAGAAATGGTCACTCCATGTGTGGATGAAGGAAAAAAAGCAAATTTGATTTTTCCAAGGACCATGCATTATCTCTCTTTTCCCAACCACTGGCTCCTCAGTTTGCAAACATCAGAAGATAATGGTTCCCCACCTCCAAACATTTGGCAGCTGCGTCCATTGCTACATTCTTGGGTTGGAAGACTGATATCCAACTCAATGTTCACAATGCTGTTTTTGGCCAATGATTTCAGCATTGCTGCAGTGGTTTTCTCAGAACTGCTGCCAAAGTTCAGTAAAATGAAAGATTTACTCTTCACTTCCAATTGTGGATGTATTAAGTTCTGTACTCACTGGTACGGAGATGAATGAGAAGTGAAATTTGTCATTTGTCTATAAAAGAATTAAGGGGAACATCACAAGGCACCTACATTTCAGCAGATGCAGTGACAGGTGCATTAACTAGATCATCTTTTTTTTCTAGATCATTTCTTTTAACTTCATCTCAATCCTATAAAGTCAATCTAGATGGCCCTCTTTCACAAAATTCAGGCCATGACCACATGGTAAACAAAGAAAGAAGTGTCTAGAAGTGAGTCAGGATTAAAGCCAGAATTTTTTTTCTATCAGAAATTCTAAATAGTCAAGTTCCCCTCCTTTCTTCCCAGCAATGTATAAGTATCTTAATTTCACCACACCCTCCCATTTGTGAGTTTTTAACTGAATTATCAGAGGAAGAGGAAGTGGTCTTTCTCTGAAACATTTTCCTCTTTCAAATTTTAACTTTTTCTTTCACATACAGCCTACGCACGAAAGTCACTAGAAGGAAGGACATCATAGCATGATGCAAACAGAAATTCCAGCAGCATCTACATATGACCACATGCTCCTTCCCGCCAAGCCCTGTGAGTCTTTGCTTGACTTGACTCCTTAGTCTCCAGGTGGACAGCTCCAGAGACCCTCTGCCAGGGAAGATGACTGACTGTGAATTCACATCTGTCTACTCTTTGGCTGAGGACTATCTTCAGTATGTCCTACAAGTTCCCTTGTTTGAATCGGCTCCAAGCAAAACGTCCAGAGTGCTACAAAAAGTTGCTTTCTCAGTCCAAAAAGAAGTTGAAAAGAATCTGAAACCATACTTGGACAATTTTGATGTGGTATCCATAGATACAGCTAGAACAATATTCAATCAAGTGATGGAAAAAGAATTTGAAGATGGTATTATTAACTGGGGGAGGATTGTGACCATATTTGCTTTTGGGGGTGTTCTCCTCAAGAAACTTCCACAAGAGCAGATGGACTTGGATGTGGATACTTACAAGCAAGTTTCTTATTTTGTGGCTGAATTCATAATGAATAACACAGGAGAATGGATACGTCAAAATGGAGGTTGGGTATGTGTGATGGAAATTGTTTTTCATTGCTCTTTATTGTAACATAGGAATTGAGTGTTTCCTTACTTCAAAATGGACCAGAAACTACCAAGTGAAGGATTTTATTTTCTCTGGATGGCTTATTTTAGAAGCTTTTAATTAAAACTGAACAGAGCAAAAATTTTCTGGTTCATTTCCAGCAAATCCTAGAACTTCATAGCAGCAAACGTTTGTGTCTAGGCTAGGAAGGCAGTTTTCTTCTGCATCTTCAGAACCAACAATGCAGATCCTCTACTGCTTGCCTTTCCTAGGGCTCTCATGACAATGGAGAATTAGTACAGAAAGCGTTGGTATTAGATGTTGTCATATGTAGGTATTTGATTTTGTTGCAAAAGACAGATATTTGTTTGCAAGTACATTTTCTTACAAATTAATTTTTCCAGTTTTCTAACTTGAATTCTGAACTGTTAAAGTTAGGTGATAAAAACAAACAATATACTGTGTCACAAGGAGAAACATTTTCTCCCAAGCGTACACAAATAAAAATTCACTGTATTATCAGTGCCTCAAAAGTCATGACCTGCATGTTGGTTAGAAGCCTTTCCCACCTAGATTGAGATGCTTCACTTTACATCCCAATATGTTTAATACTGAGTCTAAAAAATCTTTTCTATCTCCATGTAACCCCCTCTCTCTGACTCCCTTCCCTAGCTCTCTCTCTCTCATGCAGTGAGCACTGGTATTCATCATTTAACATGCTTATAGAACACATCCATAGGAAATATACATGGCATTCCCCCTCCCTATTTTGGGATTAGATCTCACTGTTGCCCAGAGTAGTCTCTAACTCTTGAAATAAAGTGGTCTTCCAGCTCAGCCTTCCAAGGATCTGGGACCCTAGGTGTACACTGTCATGATGAGCCAAAACATTTGTTTTCCCTTGGCACTGAGGATCAAACATGGAGCCTAACGCAGGCTAAGCACATGCTCTATCACTAAAGTATATCTTCAGTTCCAAAGTATTCCTTGAGAAAACAATTTTACATGCAAAAGGACTACATGGGCTAGGAATGAGGTACACATCTGTAAATCCAGCACTCAGGAAACAGGGACAGAAGGATCAGAAGTTCAAAGTCATCTTCACCTACACAGCAAGTGTGAGGCCAGCTCTGACTACATGACAGCCTGTTTGTTCACCCCTGCGCACCCTCCAAATAGTACATAGTACTTATTCCACAACTGTTTGTTTACTTAAAATAGCATTTTACATAATACTTTGTGGGCTGGGGAGGATATCAATCATAGAGTGCTTGCTTAGCATAAACAAGGACTTGAGTTTGATCCCAACACCAAAACTAAATACAATTTTTTAAAAGTACCTCATGAGCTCTGAATTTGTACATGCTCTTCAACAGCTGACCACTTCCAGCTGATGTATATTTAGTTTTTTTCCAGGGTTTTCTGTCACAAGCAACACTTCACTGAATACCAGCATCCATCTTGTCTTGTATATAGATGTGTTTTCTAGGGTGGAAATTGGGTTATAGAATTCTTTGATCATAGTGTATATCCATTGTGAAGTTACTAGCTTTCCTCTCCATGGTAGTTATAATTCTATCAGCAAGTTCAAGTATCCATCATTTCCCTGGTATAAGTAGATTAACTGCAATTAGACACAGCTTGACCAATTTGTTAGGGTAAATGTACATACTTAGCTATCTTGTATTACTTCTTATTTCCTTAGTTACTAGTACAGCTAATCAGCTCTTCATATTTCAGATTAACCTATTTTATTGCTTACTGAATAATTCTTGAAAGAATTACCTGTTTATATCCTTTATTCACCATCCCCCTTTTTCTCTTATTCAGGCAGGGTCTCCCTGAAGCTCCTGTAGTTGGAACTCACTACGTAGATGAGGCTGGCCTAGATCTCTTAGAAGCCCACCTGCTTTTCCCCCCAAGTGCTGGAGTTAAAGGCATGCACCACCACACCTGGCTTATTTAAATTTTCTTATTAATTTATAAGACTTCTTTGAATAGTCTAAATGCAAATCATTTTTTATGTAGCAGACTTCTTCTACCTTGCTGATTATCCACGGAAACTGTAGATGTCTTCATTCATTATAGAGTTAAAAGTCTGATGCAATCAAAATCTTAAACTTTGCCTTCATTCCATTTCTATTTTATTGAAATTCTTGCTTCATGCTGGGCCTTCATGTAACCAATCCTCCTTTTTGGTTGAAAATTTCATGGAACTCTTCTAACTAAGCTGGACTTAGATAAATGATGTAAGATATTTGTTATAGCTTCTTCTGGTTGGCTATAGGTAGATATGCTGAAGGATTAAGGAAAATCTCTGTTGCATTGTGTATAATTTAAGTGTTAGCAAATATTTTCTAGCACAGAGATCACATATCAGCCTGGAGGAAATTAGTAGCTCACAAGATCTATAGGCTTAGGCTATATTAACACTGTCTAGCATAGTACTTGGAGTATTTGGAGAAAACAGAATGACTATATATCACTTAAGCGTCTAACTTCATAACAAATTTTGTGAGTTAGAATTCATAATGAATGAAGGATATGGAATGGTCTCTTAGAATTTCTAGAATTGTGTTTCTCTTTTGGGAGAAATAGATGTGAAAGCATGGATGTAGCATGGCAAACATATCCTGATGGAGATATAAATGTACACACACACACACACACACACACACACACACTTCACAAAGCCCTGTGTGGGTTGCCAGCTCTTCAGTTTTATACCTGAGGAGATGAGGTTGTAGATATGAGAGAAACACAAAAAGATATCATTTCAAAGCAATCTCAATACTGCATTCCAGAGAACACAAACCACTGATTCTGTTGATGGCAGGAAGTACTACAGTAAGTCAGTGCACACAGGCAGGGCAAACAGCTTCATTTCACAGTGCTGTTGACAAATCTGCTCCAATGGATGAGTTTACTTTTGAATGATTCATTTTGTGGGAAAAACACAACCACATGTCTATGCTATTAGTTAGGTGGCCTGATAGAAGAGGAAAATGGGTATCTTACAATCTTCCTCTTTTTACTTTTCTGAAAAAAAATCTGTCAAAATTATCATAAAAATGCAACCTACTGTCTTATTGCACTTGAAATGTGTCCAGGAACTATATGAAGTCTCTTAGATCAAGAATGTTGTATGGAAACACATCATAGGTAGTGACCAACTCCAATTCAGACAGAGCTGGTTCATTTCTGGGCTCCAGTGTTTACCATCTATGTGACCAGAACAACTTACATGACTTCTCTATGCTTTATTTCCTCATCTGTAAAACCAGGAGAAAATTGCAACCTATGTTCTGGGGCTGAAATAAGTAGATTAACAGGTTTATACGTTCTGAGAATAATTTTACTACTCATGTGTAAGGAGTGCATACTGCTTTCCAAAAGGATATCAGTGGAACCCTATCAGTATTGGGTGGTATTATTAAAACTAATGTTTAGGATTTAGGGCTTTATAGACGTAAAATAAGAGCAGCAGTTTAACAGGTAGTACAAAACTACAAGATTGTGTTGACATATAATTTCTTCAACTCCTGGTAATTTTTAGATTTTCCCCATATACCTAGTAATTTAAGTTTCTCTCTTCAGTGGCCTTATCTTTCTAACAATTAAGGGATGAGCATTTTCTCTTATATTTGAACTCTTACCGGATAAATATATTTTCCTAGACTTCAGATCTTTTAATTTAAGCTTTTCATAGTTTTACAACTATTTTTATCTTCACTTGGCTTTTTCTCTTGTTTAATTTCCTTACCTTAGAAGTTGAACATGTCTAATGCAATGACATGTTAACTGTCCAGTCATATTAGACAGTGGTCAACTGTCCTGTTAATAAGCAATCAATTTAAGGTTGTCACTATACTTGCCTAATAATAAGACTAAGAAAATTCTTTAAATGGGAGTAATGAATGTCCAAATACCCAGAATGAGTAATGTGTGGGTAAGTACAGTTACAGGAAAGGGGAAGCAGAGATGAGCAATGTCTTCTCTCTGTTGGGACATGACAACATGTGCCTCACATCATGACCTACCCTGAGACTGCAGACAGAAGTAGTTTATGGTCAAGACTTTACATACATAATTCTCCTGTCTGGTGGCAGCCTGCTCTGCTGATGATTCTTCAACTATTATTCCAAGATTTGCAGAGCTTTCCTGGCTGGGTCTTCTGACTCTCAAGGAGACATGCCTGGTTCACCTTTTTGTATTAGTCCCATGAAGCATTTGGAGGCATTTGTAATCACAGATTTTAGAATTTACACATGGCAGAGCAAATGTTTGCTAGATTAACATTTAAAAACAGAAAGAGAGAAAGAAAGGAAGGAAGGAAGAAGAAAGAAGGAAGGGAAGAAGGGAACACAGAAAGAAGGGAAGGAAGGAAGGAACGAAGAAACTAAGGAAGGAAGAAAAGATGGACAGATCTTGGGATGCAGCTTGGTTGGTAGATTGCTTGCATAGCATGCACAATTCTCAGTTCTATCCTCAGGCACAATGGCACAGGGCTGTAATACCAGGGTTGGGAGGCAGAGGAAGAAGTATCAGAATTTCAAGGTCATCCCTGGCTACCTGGTGAGTTCTAGGTAGCCTGGGCTACATTAGATCCTGTCTCAAAACAACAAGAATAATAAGTTAAATTAAATTAAATTAATATTTTGAATGCTTTCAATTCCTTTTGAGCTTGTTTCAAAATATATGGGATAGAAAGAAGTGTAATATTTGTACTCCTATCCAGGTCTAGGAACCAGACAATGACTTGTGTTACCTTTATTCTTGTATTTATTTATTTATTTATTATTTATTTATTCATAGTACATGTCTTGCCACGTACTTATAGGCCCAGCCTGACTTGGAGCTCAGTATGTAGTCCAGGCTGGTTTTGAACTTACAGTAACCTCCTGCCTCTATTTCTTAAGTACTGAGATCATAAATGTACTCCACTACACATGGTGAGTTAGGTTATCTTAGAGAACTTTTTTTCCCCTGGACCTCATCATGGTAAAATAAGAGTTAGCATTAGACTGGAAGTAATTTTCAATGATGATGCTGTATAATACAATAATTTCATAATTATAAATTAATCTTTCAATGCCAGGTAATTGAAAGAAATGGAGAAAAAGAGTCTTCTTTTCTTCTAGAGTGTATCACCAATAAGCAACTGAAATGTAGCTCATCTGAGTGAAGATGAAAATGCTCGTTGGATTTCCAAGAGCTGATATCCAAAATGGTAGAACATATAACATTCACAATATCATACTTTCTACACACTGAAAGAATATTTATATATTAAATAAACATTGAATTAGAGATTTTTTTTTTTGGTTTTGAGACAAGGCTTCCCTGTAGCCCCAGGTGGTCTGGAACTCACTATGTAGATCTTGATCTCACAGAGATCCTCCTGCCTCTGCCTCCTTAGTGCTGGGATTAAAGGCGTGCACCACCACACCTGGCTTGAATTAGAGATGTTTTAAAATCATTTTATACCTTTTTCTTTTTAGTCCTTAATATGCAGATGCAAAAATATTGAAACTCATATATGTATCTCAAACTCTACCTCCATCAGACAATGTTTCTCAAGGAGTCTGGACTCAGTCTAGAGAACAATGCTGCAGATGAAATGAACATAGTGAAAGTGGAGGGAAAATTATCTATTTATATTAAATACTTTTTTGCTTCTTCCAGAAAACTGGGTCTATAGTGATTTTTAAAGTGGCCAATTTGTTCTCTCATAGGAAGATGGCTTCATAAGGAAATTTGAACCTAAGTCTGGCTGGCTGACTTTTCTGGAAGTCATGGGACAGATCTGGGAACTGATCTTTCTCCTGAAGCACCATCATTGACCAGAGAGAACCCTGGCTCCTGTGAGGACTGTTACCAACACGTCTTACTTCCATTTTCAAACAAACAATTTTAGTGACAAGACTTGATTTCCAGAGTTTATAAAGTATGTTTTGTTCCTACTTTAATCAATAAATTGCACATACGTATTTCCATATGTGATTAGTGTTTTAAGTTTTTTAGTCTGCCTGGAACTTAAAAAAAAAAAAAGAAACTCTACAGGAAACAGGTACTGAAGTATGGATTGATGATATCCAGGAAGGTAGTGTCTTTTCTGCCTATCCCATAGCAGACTCTTCCTTAAGGGTGTGCCCATCACCTAGTCATTCTGTCCATAGGGTACGTAGAATGGGGACTAAATTCTGCCTCCTACCTTCCTCCTGGGCCTAGGATTTCTGTATCCTCAGAGCCCTTGGCTGCATACTGTTTCTTATTGTTGCCCTCTCCCTAACTTTCACTCTCTGGCCCTTCATTTGGGGTTGATGGATGAAACAACCAGATATGCAGTGCTGAGGCTCAGAAACACTAGCCTAAAATGAAGGACTAAGAAGCAGTTTCTCTCTGATCTTCTCCTGCTTCCTGTCTCTCACCCTCATTCTCTTCTTAGGCAAGACATAGAAAATAATATTCACCATCCTGATAGAAACCTGGACCCTCTTTTTCCCCAAACCAGGTATAAAACCTTATTCTAACTGTTCCACTTTTTAGTGTGAAAGTAGGGAATAAAGAAATTCTCTGACTTATTCTATTTGCTTATAAGTCACAAGACCTCCATCCGAGAAGGGGCCCCGCCCCATATCTGGAAAGAAGGAATGCTACACAGAGAGACCAAGAAACATCTGGATATCCAGGCCTTTCTGGATATTTCCCATGAGTCTGTTACATTAGATCACACCCTTTTGGTTTAATCATACTTATACATGGTATGTGTTCTTTGTTGAAGCTAGGCATCAAAATGATCAGAAGTTCCAAGCACCTGATTCTTTGGTCTTCAACCTAAACCCTCCTGTGTCATGTCATGGTAATCAAATAAATTTGTCATGTATTCTTTTTCTTATTGTCAGATGAAGATGGACATGATCAATCTACCTTTCCAATAGGCAGGAAAGGATCACACCCCTTTCAGCTCCTACAGCAGGAAACTCTGGAGTTGTTTGAACAAAAACAGTTTAAATGACCGAATTTTAAGTCACTATTCAATTTGATTTTTTTAAATTTTGTACATTTTTTTCTTTTTTTTTTAAATAATTTGAGAATTTCATACATGCATATAAGGTGTTTTGAACAAATCCATTGCCCACTCTCTGCTCTCCAACTCCTCCCATATCTCCCCATCACTTTTTTTCAGATAACTTCATGTATGCTTTCTTCTTTAATTTTTTAAAATGGGGCTTTTGGCTACTCTAACATTCCCCCTTCTGAAAAGGTAACCCTAAAATCTTTTAAGGATTAGATAAAAGCTTCCAAATATTTTCGACATTTTTGGCCTTTGGAACCGAGTAGGTTGCTAAGAGGCCCAAGTACATTGTGAGCTTTAGCGAAGAAACTGGCTACTTTTCTTTGGGGTCTTTTTGCCCTAACGGCCTAGCAAATTCCTACCTCCTATTTTTATCACACCATCCTCTGAAGAGGTTACCCAAATTGCCAATAGGGAATTGGGACACAGGCCTCTCTGGCTTCTTCCATGCTGAACAGGGATGCAGGGTGAGCAAATTGGAGTACTGCTTTAGTGGGTTTATCTACAAGACTCTGAAATTGCATAACTCTTATCTCGAGGAGGAAAGGAAAGTCTTTGAATCATGAATAGGAGATGTGAATGAGAAGTAAAGGCAAGAGTAACTAGCATTACAAGTTCTAGACAGGGAACTAGAAAAAAGTCAGAACAGGGCAATTTTCAAATGTTCATATGAGAGTCCATTGGAATTTCTTCACAAGGGCTTTGATTTTTTATGTGAAAAAAACCCGTGTTTTTATCAAGTTTGTGTTCCAGTGTTTAGATTACAAGTTTGATGGCAATATGGAAACCCTCTACTTTGTTCTTTACAACTTAAGATTATATTTCCCATGAGGCTACTGATAAATCTAACAGAGGAACTAGAGCCTCTCTTTCCAACACCATATAGACCCCTCACAAGGGATTTCAGTTATTAACACTGCCGATGAGATGTGATCCCAAACTGAGGAAATAAAGATGCTGTGGTAAGTCAATAAGGAAGTGTTTATAGTCCAGGCAGTTTTGGTTTATCATGAAATCACATTTGAGATTCAAATATTTGCAGTTTCACACTGAAGTCCTGGATCCATTTTGCAGTTCACTTTTGTGCAGGGTGATAGATAAGGGTCTAATTTCATCCTTCTACAGGTGGAGATCCAGTTTTGCCTGCGCCATCTGTTGAAGATACTGTCTTCCCTCCAGGGTGCATTCTTGGCATCTTTGTCAAATTTCATGGTGTCCTTTTTATCTCTGGAAGAAATTAAGATCATAGAAAGGCTCAATAATGTAAGAGTTTTCAGATACTCTAGGATAATGCCATGCTTGATAGTGTAGAGTAGCTGAGGCAAGGGAAAGATGAGATCAAGCTGTTTATAGAGGAGACAGATTATGAAAGGTCTTACAGGCCAATGTATGAACTGTGTTAGAACAAGTTTCAGTGCTGAAATAGGAACTGCTGGAGAGTTGTGTACAGAGAAGTAACAAAGTGTGGCTATTTATTTATTTCTTTTGTGATAGACTCTCACAGAGCCCAGGCTGGTCTCAAACTCCTGTATAGCTGAGGATGATCTTGAACTTCTGATCCTCCTGCCTCCTCCTCCTAGGATTACAGGTATATCCCACCATATTCATTTTGCATGGAGGTGGAGGTTGAACCTAGGGAAGCACTCTACAAATGAAGCCACTGCCCAAGCACCACAGTCTTCTATTTTAAAGTCTTCTTCCTAGTGCATGGGGGATGAACCGTAAAGGGAGAAAAGTATAAGCAAAAAGACCACCTACAAGGTAGCTGAAAATTGTACTGAGGAGAACCAGAACTGGGTATCACCTTCAAACCCTACCGCTCTCAGTGACCCACTTCTAGCTAGGTCACAGTCTCGAATGTTCCACAGCATCCCAAATCAGTGCTGCCAGCTGAGGACTAAATGAACACATGAGACTGGGTGGGATGCAGTTCCTACTCAAATCATGAAGCTCTGTGAGTCAAAGTAGCACAGTCTGGTCTTGAGACTGGAGCCGTTCTGCCTCAGTCTTCTGAATACTGAGATCAGAGGTGTATGCTGTCACTTATTGGGATTTTTGTTTTGTTTTGTTTTGGTTTTTTGGAAAAAGGGTCTTGATATGCAACTAGGTAGCCAAGACTAAGCTATAACTCACAAACTTCTGCCTCAGCTTTGAGAGTACTGGGATTACAGTTTTTTGGGGGGTTTTGTTTTGTGTTGTTTTAATTCATAATGGTGTCTTGTTAAGAACAGAATTTCTGCAAGTATTTTGTTGAGAATTTTTGCATCTATGTTCATTAAGGATATGGGTCTATGGTTTTCTTTTTTGGTTTATCTTCACCTGGCTTTGGTATTAGAGTGATGCTGGCTTCACAGAAGAAATTTGGAAGTCATCCATCCATTTCTATCTTTTTGAATAAATTATGTAGTATCAGATGTAGATCTTCTTTAACTGGTGGAATTCTGCTCTAAATCCATCTGGTCTTGGGCTTTTTTTAGTCGGGAGGTTTCGTATTACTGTTTCAATTTCCTCATGTGTTATGGGTCTGATTAAGCTGTTAATCTCTTCTTGGTTGGTTTAGTTTTGGTGGTTCCCATGGTTCTAGATACCCATCCTTTTTTTTTTTTTTTTTTTAGGTTTTCAAATTTAATAGCATATATGTTTTTAAAGTATTTCCTTATAGTGTTCTGGATCTTTTTGGTGTCTGTTATGTTTCCCCTTTTCTCTCTGATTTTGTTGATTTGGAGGTGCTCTTTCTTTTGTTTAACTGGGCTAGTGGTCTATCAATCTTATTTATCTTTTCAAAGAACCAGCTCTTGGATTTGTTGATTCTTTGTATTAGTTTGTTTCTATTTCATTAATTTATGCTCTGATTTTTGTTATTTTTTCTTGTCTGCTGGGTTTGGGTTTCATTTCTTGTTACTTTTTCAAGTGTCTTGAGTTGCAATGTTAAGTCATTTATTTTTGTCCTTTCCGATTTTTTTTTTTTAA